CTTAATGTTAGCTAATTGACTAGAGCTCATCTCATACTGCTGACATGTTTCAGATACACAATCCTCATCAGGACAGCAAGTATTTGAAAAGTTTAGTCTGTATATTTATTATTTTTTGTAGGTATATGTTTTTCGTGGATGTTGGACGTAAATCAAAGAGAAATTCAGCTAAAATCGAAAGAGCGTTTATGGACGGAAGTCATCGACTAGATTTAAAATTGAATAAGTTATTATTACCAGTTAGTATTACAGTAGATATTATCAACGAAAGAATCTTCTGGGTGGATTCTCATCTCGATCATATTGAAACCGTGAACTACCATGGACTGGATAGGTACGTAACTTCTAATATTACTAAGACAGAAACAACTATATTTTACAAGGATAATAACTTAGGTTCACAAGGATCCTTTCTACCAGCTGGTCCTTGGCCAAACCTCTTGGTAATGATTTTACAAGGATAATAACTTAGGTTCACAAAGATCCTTTCTACCAGCTGATCCTTGGCCAAACCTCTTGGTATTGATTTTACAAGGATAACAACTTAGGTTCACAAGGATCCTTTCTACCAGCTGGTCCTTGGCCAAACCTCTTGGTATTGATATTACAAGGATAACAACTTAGGTTCACAAGGATCCTTTCTACCAGCTGGTCCTTGATCAAACCTCTTGGTATTGATTTTACAAGGATAATAACTCAGGTTCACAAGGATCCTTTCTACCAGCTGGTTCTTGGTCAAACCTCTTGGTAATGATTTTACAAGGATAATAACTTAGGTTCATGAGAATCCTTTCTACCAGCTGATCCTTGGTCAAACTTCTTGGCAATGATTTTACAAGGATAATAACTCAGGTTCACAAGGATCCTTTCTACCAGCTGATCCTTGATCAAACTTCTTGGCAATGATTTTACAAGGATAACAACTTAGGTTTACAAGGATCCTTTCTACCAGCTGATCCTTGGTCAAACCTCTTGGCTTTGATCTTTCTTGGATTATCTGTACCCATTTACAGCTGGGTCGATGGGAATTATGAGTGAAGATGACTAACTCAACCGAGATTGGAACCCACAGTCGCCATTTGTTCGACGTAACCAAGCAAATGATGTCATAGATTCCAATGCTCAAGCCCTAACAATTCCTCAGAAGAAAGTTGGCTGGCATAATTTCCCTCATTGCACACTGCATGGCATTGTCTGTCTTCATTAGCTCAGGTTTCATTTCTAAGAAGAGAGAGAAAAAACCGTAAATCAAAAATGATAGTACAGGAAGCCATCTGCCAGCCAAAATTTCCCTTATTGCACACTGCATGGCATTGCCTGTCTTCATTAGCCCAATCAGGTGCAGAAGTACAAATTCGACCTACCAGACCTTTGAGATGCCTCAAAATTTCCCTCATTGCACACTGCATGGCATTAGCCCAATTAGGGCTCCCTTCTTCTTCAAACTCTATAAGGAAAATTTATGCAAGAATTTGGAATACGTGATTGGTTAATTTGGAATTTGCTACTTTCAGGAGAACTATTCTATCTGGTGGTATCCAAGTTCCGTCAGCACTGTCATTGGCTGTATTCGAGGACTATGTTTATTGGACGGATGCTACGAAGAAAGGTGTATTGAAAGTGAATATGTACGGAGGGGACCCTGAACAGATATATGAAACGCGGGGCAATATTGTGGGCTCTATTAAAGTTTCTCATATAAACAAACAACCCCAACCAGGTATGTATATTGAAAGACGGAAGAAACTTCCAAAATTAGGCTCGCTCTGGTTTGGACCCGCGGTTTCAAATTTTTGATCTTATAGTTCTTAAAGGGACAGATGCGCCATTTTTTTGTCCAATCATACTTTAGTCTCTGAAACAGGAATTTTTTTAGCTAAGCTAATCAGTAATAGTGTTCACAGCTCACTGTCGAAATTTGAGTCTTCAAATCCATGTGTGTCTAGAATTATCTACTTTTGAATGTTAAAAAGACGAGTCGTTATTTTAACAGAATTGAATATTTGAATATTTGTGATGTCATGTGTATACAGTAGTCTCAATTATACTGTCCCGTTTCGTCTACGACAGAAGATATCTTGGTGTCAGAGACTATATCAAAAAGACGTTCAATTTTCAGATAGTAATAGAAAGTGAAATTCCTAGTTTGAGATATTTTTGAAGGAATTATGAGATTTTCGTACATTTCTAGTATTTCTGAAGACTATTTACATATATTCAACACTCAAATCAACCAAGCCAAGGACCATGTATAGTGTATCGTTGTATTTTTGAAGGAATTATGTGATTTTCGTACATTTCTAGTATTTCTGAAGACTATTTACATATATTCAAGACTCAAATCAACCAAGCCAAGGACCATGTATAGTGTATCGTTGTATTTTTAAAGGAATTATGTGATTTTCGTACATTTCTAGTATTTCTGAAGACTATTTACATATATTCAAAACTCAAATCAACCAAGTCAAGGACCATGTATAGTGTATCGTTGTATTTTTAAAGGAATTATGTGATTTTCGTACATTTCTAGTATTTCGAAGACTA